TCGGCACATGCTTTAGAGTCTACATCAGGGAAAGTGACAGCACCGTCGAGGAAGGAATAAAACATGTCACGCACAACATCTCGAGATGACAAAGCGTCCACACGAGGGAAAAATCTTGTCAATAAAAACAACGTATGAACCAAACAGAAGATCGAGGCCAAAAGTGGAAACAGCCCTGCGGTAGTGCAACACTGTGTGACCGAAAAACATGGAAAAAACCAGAGGCGCATTTAAGAATCCGTGCAAAAATAGTTTTAGCTTCAGAAGACCAAATAAATCCTCTTCATCTACGTCAACAGATGCTTCAGCACGGACAACAGTATGGGCAACAAGATCAATAGGAGGACGTTACTCTCTTAGTAACACGGTACCGATGTTGAGCCAGACTCCCCGTCGTCCCGAATTCTCCTTGACGTAAATTTTAACACGTTTGCACGTTGACAACTGTCAAAGCACTTCTAAAACATATTTAATATATTTAATCATATTTATATGCCGAGCAAACCGTGGAAATCTTGAAGAACGTCGACAATCCAATTTCGAAGTTCAATATGAATTTTTTGCATATTGTTCAGAACTGGCGTCAGTTTCATTAAAGATGAAACATAATTCAGCTGCAGCATTGCCGCTCCCCAGGCCAGATAAGAAATGAGGATCACTGAGTACCTCTGCGAGGTATCCAGTAAAGCGTTGCCACCCCTCCTTCATAGAATTGATGCCATTAAACGTTATACCCTCTCGATCGTTGCCCGGGCAACCATGGCGGTAGTGAAGTAAGGCTGTCTACGAAAGTCGCGAGCAGAACGTGCTTCACGATCTCTGGCAGCTGCTGGTGTTGCAGTTCGAAGATCAACAAGATACCAGTGAGCAACAGATCCACTGTCGGTGCCGTTACAGCTCGTCAAATAAGGCTCTACAGAGGTGAAAGGTCACAGTGAAAGGTCACAACCATAAACTGGAATATCTCGTCACCTCGAGGGAAGCAGCAGGAGCAAACTGTTGGACAAGGTACCAACTCTGCAGAGTTTGACTCTCGTCAACGAAGCGTCACGGCTCTAGAATTCTTAGTCTTGGCTAGTGGAAGCCATTCTAGTCAGGTGTCGACTCCCGTTCACTCAGATCGGTGTTGGTGATTGATAAAACCGAGGTTAACGGTGTCATTTAATAAAAGTCTGTCAGAGGAAGGCTGGCAATCCTCGGACTGAAACTACAACAGGCTAAAACAAGGACCCTGCCACAGATGCATATGTCCAATTTAGACGGAGAATATGAGTATTTTCTGCAAGAACTAAAAGGTACTTTACGTAAAGTGCGGAGTACGGAATCCATCCATCATTTCAATGCGCAATTTCGCAGCAATGGAAATGCGTGACTGGAAAGAACGGCCCTAACGACATTAGCAATATCGGATAAAGTTGCTGCGGTCTTCAAACAACGAACTGTCCAGTAAGGACTCCTTTTACGGGCGAAGCATGCACCACGGTTTATACCACGATTTAATTATCATATCATTTGACTTTGGTTCTGTAGTGGGTGTTCGCGTTAAGAAGGACGCAGAGCTGTCAACTAATCACTACCTTGTTGTTGGCACGCTATCCCTTGAGAGATGGCGGGCAACGGGAAAACCTGGTGACAAAAGCAACCACAGAATCAAATGGGAAACATTATCTTCGGCGGACAAGAGAGAGAAATTTGCAAACAACATCGAACACAGCCCGGCGACGAATACAGAAACAGATTTCATATTCCATGGCTGACGTTGAAACAGAGCGGAAGCCCTGTAAGAACGGCTTACTCACGGCTCCCGCAGAATGTCGCGGTTTCACACGGGTTGGCCTGTCGTCTAGAGGCCGAAACCAACTCTTGATGGACATCAGAGGTTCAACTGGATGTCAGCAGTAACAAAGCTGCGTTCAAGACGTGGCTTGGAAACAAAGAGCCTTCGTCTCGCATGCGCAGAGCTTCTCTTTGAAGTTGCAAACAAGACGACAGGGAAACAGTGGCGAAAGCAAAGGCTCATTCCTTTGAGAAATTCAGGGAGGTGTTGGAACTGAATTTCCAGACGGAAAACAAGGCATCCTGGCAGACCATCAATCGCCTCTGAAAGGAGGCGGTCTAAAAAGTCTGGATGCCCTTTGACTAAGCATGAGGGCATTCATTGGCAACGGAGAGAGCAATTTGAGGAACTCCTTGAAACCGAGCAACCGCAAGAAGACTCGCCTGAAGAACAACAGGAAATGGCTGTTACTATTTCTGTAGACGAAATCACACAAGTTGGGAAAAGCTTGAAAAATGGAAAGGTTGCTGGAACTTAAAAAGTCGATCTTCATCCCCATGCTTATCTACGGTCACGAGTCGTAGGTCGTGCGCTAAAAAGTTCCATCACAGGTATAGAAAGCTGAAATATGCTTTCCGAGGCAAATCCCTGACCTCACCCGTCTTGACAGGGTCTGGAGTACAGATACAGGACAGAGACTTGGTGCATATCCGCTGGCTGTTCGAACTGAGAAGTCATAGCTGTGGTAGTTTGGTGACGTTCCGCAAATGCTTTCATAAGGAAAGACGAAGACGAAACATATCCCGCTTGCTCAACCGACGGGCCGAAGACCTCTCGAACGGAAAAGTACAACCTCGGCAAGTGTATCGAAGGACTCTGTTAAAGACTCAGGGCATCTTTTGCCGAAGCAGTCTGACACGTCTTTCTCCAGGACCCGAAAGTACATGCGGTCATCGAAGTCGACTGACTGAGTGACCGACCGAAGACGATACTCTATTGATGTATTTGCAGCGATGGTTTTACCGTCAACTTTGCTTTCCGCTCGCTCCCTGTAAACCATGTATTGAGGTTGTTAGATCGATCGACAGTCGGACTCGGAAGTGACAGGTTTCGTGCTGGAGTTCCGATCAAATCCATCGCCTTTTCCTTTTCAAGGTTCGTTGGTAAATGAGTACTGTGTTCTGAGAAGGTATAAAGAGACCATAGGCGCTATGCTTTGAACACAGCTGAGGGCCGTGCCTTTAAAATAAACTACTCCTGAATGATGGCAGAGGAAAAAAGTTCAGCGTTACACGTGCTGAAAGGAATGGCGCTACAAATGGAATTCAATCACGCAAGTGTAACGGAGACCGACTTCATAACTGTCATAAAATTTCCTTACAACCTTGGATCAAGAAATTAGCTACAATTCCAATAACAAGTCTGGAATCTGAAACGTTAAATATTGTAAATTGGGTTTAAATTGAAGTGAAAGGCGGCGAGTAAAATTTATAAGCTAACCTGAAGCTTGGGCTACGTCGCGAGCCGCAAATATTTGAACCGTAACGCATTCTGTTCCGACGTCGTACGATAGAGAGAGAAACACTTCGCCAAGTTTGCCAACGTTCTAAAGACCAAAAGGTCGCAAACGTAATGTTTAATCATTAGAATAAAATTTAACAGTCAGTCGAACAATCGCAGTATTGGAATCTGGACCGGACTGTCATGGGGATCAAGAAATCGAAATTAGCGTTACATTTTGTGACGACTGTTACAATGGACAGTCAGCGATTAGGTGGGTGATGACATCCCGCGAAGGGGGGGGGAGCGCTCGCATAAAACAACCTGGTTGTACGCATCGACCATTCTGGTATAACCAGATCAGAATATCATACTGTCCTCATTTCTGGCAAGTCATCGACTCGCTACCCTCTTCTGAGTCGGTTGCTCCTTCGGCTGAATTGAACCCGCACATGGAGTTCAAGGCCTGACCTGTTTGTCACTGTGCCACCATCCTCGAACAAACAATTTAAAGTTGAACGGTAGTGCAAATACTGTTCAGTAATGATCAGTCTTGAGGCCTGCCTGTTTTTACGTTTGCAGGTTGTGTTAATGTTTCGGGTCTGCTAAGAGGTGCATCAAACGACCTGCAACTGTACAACGAATGCATAATGAAAACAGATCTAATTTCTGTACTCAAGGAAATTATAAGTTGATTTTTTTTTTAAAAAAACTTTCTACGCCAATTTTGTAATCTACCCAGCACGTTCAAAGTGCCAAGATGAACGATTTGCACTAAAGTACCGTCACTTGCCTATGCAGCTGCCATCTCATTGGATAACGGGCACTGGATATCGACCGAAAGAGCGCGACTCCGAATGAAAGCAGTTGAAAACAAAGTTTCTTCTGGTTACTGTTGGTGTAACAAAACTCAGATAGATCCGAACGTCATTTTCGGGATTGGCTTATTCCCCAAATTGAGAAAACAAAATTGCC